ACTGCAGGTTATGTCCCCACCAAAATTCTTATGTTAAAACCCTAATCCCTAGTGTGATGGTATTTGAAGGTGGGACCTTGAGGTTATTAGGTTTAGGTGAGGTCGCATGGGTGGAGCCCCATAATGTAATCAGTGCTCTTACAAGAAGGGACACCAGAGAGCTTGTTCCCACTTTCCCCCGCCTGAGGATACAAGTGAGAAAGAGGGCTGTCTGTAAACCAGGAAGAGAACCCTCACTAAGCACCAGACCATACTGGCACCCTGATCTCAGACTTCCACCCTCCAGAACTATGAGAAACTACTGTTGTGTAAGCCACCAAATCTATGGTATTTTGTTACAGCAGCCCAAATGTAGGGCATTCAGGAGAAAAAAGGTAAAGAGGAGGGAGGAGTGAGTTGCGGTCCTAGAAAGGCTTCAGAGAGGAAGCGAGATTTTAAATTTTAAAAGAGAAAAAATTATAACCAAGAAGGGAGAACATTCCAGGCAGGGAAGCAATGTAAGCACAGATAAAATGGCGGCAATATTCCCTGGAAATCAATTCAGATTAAGTAATTTTTTCAAGGTTACATGGCAGATGGAGCCAGGACTCAAATACAGGTATTAATGACTTTAAACACCTGTTTCTTCTGATAATGGAATACCTTCCCCAAATTCTCTGTTCTTTCCTCTGGTTCCTACTCATGATTCTTTGTTTCAAAACCCAAGACTAAATGTTCAGGTTACAACCTTTTCTATAAATCCTTCTCTAATGATTCCTTCCTTTCAGTATCACCTACACCCTCTATCATAATATTCTATCCGCCTGCTGGTCTTCACAGTAGCATATATCTTCCTAATAGCTATCTATGCATCCCATGCATGTCACCATTTATCGAGCACATATTATAAATTAGGTATCATACAAGAGCCAGTACAAAGACGTAAGAGGATTTCAGTAAAGCATGTGTTAAGACAATCCCTAGAAAATCCAAGGTAAAATGAAAATACATAATCAATAATTATTTATTGAGTATATGTTATATGCTAAGTACTATGCAAGTCCTAGATATACAAAGATTAGTAAGATCTACTTTCTAGTCTTATAGAGCTCTTACATAGAGGGGAAAAGGGGAAATATGTACATAAACAATAACTACAATATAATAAAAATGTGTTAATATCAACAATCCTAGGGACCAATTTACACAGAGAATTTTCCCACCCATAATAACAGTTCCTTAGAACTATCAGAAAATAGCATTGGATAGTCAGAGAATCCTGGATTTTTTAGCTGAGCACATGGCTGTTTAGGATAAAGACTGCAATTCCCAGTCTCAAAGGCAGCTAAAGGTGACCATGAGAGCAGATTCTAGGTAGTGTGCTAGTGGTACACTGCTAAGTGTTTAACTGGCTTTGGGAGCTGTGGAACTCTGATATGTAGTGTTCGCCAATTTTGATGGTATAAATACTCCCACTATGGCCAATTTCAAACTACCAATGTGAGGCACAGAGTTGGGAGGAGAGGTGCCTAACTGACTCTCACTAACTGATATAAGCTGGTAAGAGCAAGGAGGAGCCAGGTCTGGAAAACCATTGGTTCTAGCCAATGGCATGTGAACTGAAGTGATGTGGTAGCTTCTGGTTCACACACTCTAAAAAAAGGACAGCCTCGCTTTGTCCTTTACTTCTTCCTTCTAGCTGGAATGCACTTGTAGTAGTGAGCCACCTTGGACCAGGTAGGCAAGGGAGAACACTAGGAATAGCAAAGCAAATAGGAAAAGGAACTTGAGTCCCTGATCATGGAGTTGCTATGTCAGCCCTATAATACTTTTGCCTGTACTGATATATGAGAGAGAAATAAACTTCTCCTTTATTAAGCCACTGTTATTTTAGGTATCTATTAGTACAACTGAATCTATATCCAACTAATGCAATCACTCTGACAGCCATGAAGAAGAGAAGCTGACTAAAGGAAGTGAGGCTCAAGACAGGGAAAGTACTCTTAGATTAAGAAACTATAATAACATTAGGGATGAAACACTAAATCCAGGGTTGGATTTAGAGGATGGCAATACAGTTACAGAGGAAGATTATATCAAAAGAAAGGAGCACATATACAATATTTTTTTTAATTTAAAAAAAAACAGAGAAGAATCAGAAATAAGCTAAAGAACAGAAGACATGGGAGAAACGTTTGAAGGAGACTGCCTACAGCACCTAAGGCATGGCCTGAACTGGGACACCAAAATGAGCAAAACTGCCCTTGGGGAATTTACAGTCTAGAAAGGTATAGAGATACAAAAACAGAAGGACAATTAAGTAAGATATAAGTAGATATAGATAAGAGTAGACCAAAACAGAAGACGTAGTCAATTGTACTGATGGTGGTGGCAAGGGGTGAGGCAGCAGGAGACCAGAAGAGACATCATAAAGGATACTATATGACCAAAATGTCTTTAGAGACAAGTAGATATTCTGTCTTTAAGGATAAATTGACATTCTTTCTAATGAGACAAGTGGGAACAGCACAAAAAAAATACAAAGATATCAAAACGTTCAATTTGGAAAACGTCACGTAGTTTTATATAACTAGAATTTTTAAAAAAGAAAAAAAGGTAAGAAATCAGTCACTGGAATAGGCTGAAGAGTAAGTACTAAATGAAGAACAAAAACAGAACCAGAGGGGAGTTCAAAGTTGAAGGCAGCTTTGACTTTTGTTCATGACGTGATACCTTGAACATTTTCTAGACTCGGAAAAAGAAAACTGATGGATATATGGAGATGGAATTCAGAAGAGAAAAGCCTGATGGTCTAAATACATGCAAATAAGTAGATGATCTGATTAGCAGATTCCTAGATCCTGCTCCCTTAAACATGAGACCCTGAAGGAATGAAAGAGAAGACCACTTAGATGAGGGATCAAGGCCTGCAGGCCAACTGGCAAGCCACCTGTTTTTTACATAGCCCTCTAACTAAGAAGGTGTTTTACGTTTTAAAATAATTACTGGAAAAAATCAAAATAATAGTCCATAACACAACAAATTTTAGTATCTATAAATAGAGTTTCACTGGAACATGGCCATGCTCATTTGTTTACATATTGTCTATGGCTGCTTTCACAGCACTATGTCAGAGTTGTGTAGCTCGAAAGGAGCCCGACCATCTGTCCCTCAGTCTAAAATATTGACTATCTGGCTCTTTACAGAAGAAGTTTGCAAACCCCAGATTTAGATGGTGACAGTGAGTGTTCTATGAGCATATAAGCTAAGTGACAGCATTAGGGGTACCAAAAAGGCTTTAGAAGAATCCACAGATAGTAATATACAGTTTGTGTCTGATCTTACATAGCAGAATTTGGAATGACAAAACATTTTTCTCCAACAGTTTTACAAGTTCTACAAGGTGTTAATTTTCTTTCATAAACAAATACTTTCATAAATAAATACTTCCTGACTATTTGGTATGCATGTTATCTTGTTGCAACATCCATTTTCAGGAACAAATAAATGTTAGGTTTTCCTCCAATTCATACCCTTCAGATGTCTGGCTCATGCTACGTCTTCTGGGTTACTACAACAATTCACTACCATTAGTAACTTCTATATTGAATTTACAAAGTCATTAAATAGTACACACTAGACCTTGAATTGGAACTTCAAATA